GTAGCACAAATTTCCCTATCAGTAATGGAGTCACTGCAGTTGGCTCAATGGAATTTTTTCTTTTCATGCAACTTGAACAAGGAACCTATTCAATGACATGTACTTTTGCATCCTTCTGAGGATTTCGTGGAAATGACATTGCATTGTTGTTAAACAGATTCATCACTCCCACTGCTACAGCCCTACTCCAGTGATGTTTTCCACAAATTTGGCACTGTTTCCCACATTTTAAACATCTTCCTAATCACATGTGAGATGAAGGGTTCCTCTACCTTCTTCTCTGCAGATGAAATTTCTTCCATAACCTCTTGCTATTGGGAGATGATCCATCACAATTCTGCAGAGAGAGAGAGAGAGAGAGAGAGAGAGAGAGGGGGGGAGGGAGGGAGGGAGAGGCTAAAGTAGGAAGGAGGGAGAGAGAGATTATGAAAAAGATGCGGTGCTGTGCCCCTTTTGGGCAGCTGCGATCTAGGAAGAAGGGCATTGCTTTAGTCCGGTCCTCTCCATCCCGAAGCTTTTTTCAAGTCTGGTGAGCTAGGAGAGGACTCCGCTCTGTGCTGGTGTAAAAACAAATGCGCGTCTCTTAGCAAGTCACTTCCCGAGTCCCTAGTAGTTAAACCTTTAAAATGCAAGATCTAATGTATTCTAATGCTCGGTAAAATCCCGAGACTGCGGCTTCCGTGGTCCATGGGGCAAATAGAACTCCAATGCCCTTGCTGTTTAAGAGCTGCTGCCGGCCGACGGCCCACCGGCGGCTCAGGCAGCCGTAATGCATGCAAAGTTAACACAATAACATCATTTAATTACTCGGCGAGCTCATAAATCTTCAAGTTATGAGGCTTCAGAAGGACCTTACTAGATTGCAGAACACAACTAGAATTCCGGGAGTTGTGGTTTCAAGGTGAACAAGTGCTGCTCCAACAGTGACTTGGAAAGAAGAGGGCAAGTGTAGAATCGGTGGGGGTGGGGGTAAAGGTGGTGCCTGCGGTGAGGAAACTTCTCCCCGGGAGCAGGAAGTATGGGAAGTAGTCCGGACAACAACCGCAGATCTTCCTCCAGACGCACGCTACACACGCGCGCACACACACACACACACACACACACACACACACACTCACACACACACACACACACACACAAACATGCACACGCGCGCGCTCCGCGAATCCCAGGGGAGAGCAACGTCCGTTTTATGGCGTTGGTTAGATGACTCTCAGTCTGCACTGACATCTGCATATTGAAACCTTGTTTCTGAAAAGATCAGAGCCCTAGCGGCTCCAGAAAGCTAATAGCTCTGAACAGCACACCTTCGTCTTCCTAGAATTTCGGTTGTTTGGTAGTCCAAGGTCAGGAGGAAAGAGTGGAGCCGGGGGAGAAAGGAGGTGGTGATTTCTCAAGGCCTGTGTAGGGGCTGGAAAAGTGGTGGAGCCCGCCGGTGAGACCAACACCGGGCAATGAAAGCCTTAAAAGTAACAGATTCTTCCTAAGCAGGTTGCTGCTCTGTTTGCTTCCGAAGATTCAAGCTGGCTGAGATTGCGCAGATGTTGCCTTTGTTTAAAGAGACAGTAATTAAGGACAGGGTGGACATAAGTTTGAGAAGCGTGACCTATTTTCTTTTGATCAGCTGTCAAAAGAAGAGTAGGGGGTCTCCTTAAAACAGCCCCTTCCAACCACTTCCAGCTGTTAAAGAAAACTTGATAAGAAAACAAAAACAGCCTGGAATACTATATGTGCCCTCTTGGCGCTAGAAAGGTTTAATTCATTTGGAAAACCATTCTTAGTCTCAGCGACCTTTTCTGCTGCCCTCCTCTCTATTCTAGCTATGGAGACCTCCCTCCCAACCTGTCACACAAATGTACAGTGACAGTTTTCATAGATCAACTTTATTGAGCTCTGGCCAATACTTCGACAATTATTCTTTCAAATGATGTCTTCTCTGTAATATCAAAGCCTGGGTAAGAAAGCAGCAGATCTCCGATATGCCAGAGTTTTCTGGCTGCTCACATCTTTAATGTGACAAGTAAAATAACTCAGTTTTTTGTGTCTCAGGTTCACTCTCCTTCTTGCCTTCTTCTGTGTCTCTTTCTACTCTCTACCTCATATATAGTGACTAAACACTTGGGATAATTTGAGTCAGTTAATGTTTGAAATACACAGAATGGAACAAGTTCACAAAGTACAACCTGCTGTTGGTCACCCAGTGCCCAATGACTGAAATAGAGCAGAAGACAGCCGAGAAGGGTCAATCTGATGGATCTCAATGCTCAAAGTAGGCTCCAGGGTCCTGGATTCAGGGTCACAGAATGGCTAGTGACCCCAGGCCAGTGCTGCCTTCATACAGAAACTTAAGTATATAAATTGCCATTTAAATAATTTTTCAAAATGGTAAACTCATTTAGCAGGCCACCAAGATAAATCTGCTCTTGGGAATTGCATCTGCAAGTGCCTGGGAGCAGAAAGGTGAGTTGCATTTTTTGATGCCTAGCTTCCTTTCTCCTGCTCTCTCCCTCCCCTCTCCCTCTCTCCCACCATTCCTCCCCCTTCGCTCGATCAATATTGGCGATCTCAGGGAAATCATGAAATCGTATTGGCTTCTTTGTATATAATTTCATTGGGCTAGATTAAAGCAGATTTTTCACGTTTTGTAATGGTGGTTTGAGGTTTTATGTCTTAACCCAAAATCCATTTAAAAGGAAAATGAAAGTGCTTGTTTAGTCAGCACCCTAATTTTTACTGATTTAGGTTTGGATACCCTTTTTTCTTTCTTTTTAAAAAGGGAAAATATTTTCTAGTTCTAGATAATTTAAGAATATCAATACTAATAAGATTTTCAAATATGTTTTGAGATAATGTTGATATATTTTTCTATATAGTTAAGAAAACAGAAAAGAATTGCTGCTTTCTAACCGACTCTTTTTTAGACATCCATACTCAACCTTCACAAGTTCAAAAGTCAAAATTTTGTCTTTTAATTTGAACGTTTAATCTGCCTCTTCCCCTTCTCCCAACACCATCTGATTCACAAATAGACGATATGGAAATGTGGTGTCTTAAGTGCTAGTCCCTCACTCTTAGAATCTGGACAATTGTACCAAGTAGCCATCTGAAGATCTTAAACTTAAATGAGTCAAAAGAAGCATATAAATAAAATGCAGCTTCAACAACAAATGCAGGTTACTGCATCATAAAAAAAATCTGCCTTTAAACTAGCAATTGCAGGAAAAGACTGAATATTTTATTGTCCATTTTTAATATGTATTTTCTGCATTAAAATTGTTATAAAGGGGAGGAGGAGAAAAAAGAAACTATAAATTATTCACACACACACACACACACACACACACAAATAAACACACCGCAAATAAATTCAGTCTGAATAAAGGGCCCAACAGCTTTGTTTTTACTGAACAGTAACCATAGCCCAATTCTAGGGCTGGGTTATTTCTACCCAAATGCTCAAAATCTCTTCAGGTTTTGTGTTAGTCAGAACACATTTGTGCTACAACTAGGTTTCTCAGAGCAATACAAAAAGACATAATGGTGGGTTGATTTGGACTATTTTATTTTTGTCCTTCCCCAAACCATCTGGCGTGTGAGTGTAGGGGTATTGATCAGGATCTGTGAGCTGCAGACCCCATGCCAATCCATAGCGTTTCTGGCAATCAGCGTCGCCCATGAATTGCAGCTGTCTGTGCAGCTCCCGAACAGAAATCTTCAAAAAAAGTCCCCCCTTATCAAACACATCATCCGTTCGGGGGTAAGTCAATATCATTTCTTTGTCATTCTTCGAGCGAGGATTATGCAGGAGAAAGTTTTTGTTGTCTGTGTAGCTGCTGCTGTTGCTGCTGCTGCTGCTGCTGCTGCTGCACCGGCCTTTTTTTTTTTTTTTTTTTAAAGGAAGGAGAGCAATTTTCTAGCCATTGAATGGTAATGGTTTTCCAGAAAGGCCTCAAGCGTTTGTATGAATCGGACAACAAATGCTGTTTCAATATTGTGGGGGAATTTTAAGAAGAGAGAGAAATTCTCATGTTGCTATACACAAATAATAGTCGTGATAATAGAGGGTTCCTTTTAACGATGGAGAATTTTCTCCCCTTTTCTGAGAGCCCCTGGTAATGAAGACCCCGTAAGTCTGTGATTACACGTGCAGTTGGACAGTGGGTTTGTGGAGGAAAAGGGGCTTTCGGAATTGTGACTCTATTTGATATCTCCATTAGCTTCAATTTTCTTCTGT